TGCGCAAATTTAACAGTCACAAATCTCCTAGATCCGAATCAATATACATAACTCTGCATAAACAGGGAGCTAAAGATGAATGCGGCAATTATAGAAATATCGCTACACCATGTTCGCTCCAAAGTTCTCTTGCAAATCTCACGGGAATGATCGAAGAATTACTTTCTACCGCAGATCCCTCCAAATCAGTTAGGTTTTGTTATGAACGTACGACCAATTATAGAAAAAGTGTACGAATACAACGTACCAACTATGTTCTGCTTCCTCGACTACACCAACCATTTCACACAGTACAGTGAAGACCACTATGGAACATCTTGATCGAAATGGGGGTTCCAAAATATCTCGTTCGCGATGATAGTTGAGAACCCATAACTGTTTGTTCAAAAATTTGACAGTTATAAGAAAAATATGTTCCAGACAAGCATGTTTTAATTAAGGTGAGCGGGTTTGGTTCATTTTAATATATCCGAAATGATGTTGAAAGTTTCAGGAATATGGACTTCAGTAAGGAGCGATTCTATGACAAAACTAAGCGGAATATCTTGTGTATCTAATGTAATGCTTTTTAATTGTTCATCGGAGTGAAAGGAATTAACTACGAAACTATGGGTTTTCTCTGTAAAGGGTTTTAATAATTGGCTAATAATTATTTGATACCAATTTCCCGGACTACGAAGTCTACGAGGAGTAGCGGAACTTTTTATTATGCATTTTCGACGGATAGAAAATTATTCGAAAATTACCCCCCCTGGTGCGCCTTCGACCGATAAAAACTTCTCGGAGGGAAAAACGGAGCGCGTTATAAGCGTAACCGTGACTGTAACATTTGAAACGCGACACGGGCGTGCACGAAAAATTTAAATATTGATCATGTGGTGCCCGCCTGAAAAATATGAAATTAATGTAAATCAAAATCACAAGCGCGACATGTTCGGGCGAAATTATGCTGGTAATTAGGTCGAATTTGCATCTGGCATCACGCGCCGTTCGACCCTTAATATTTAGTCGACTTTGTACAGGGTTATTCATTATATATTGACACCCACACCTACAGAGTAAAGTTTGAAAGATAGAAATGAAAGTGTAAATACAAAAATTTGAAGATTTGTGCTCTATTACATTATGCAAATGTCAGAAAAAAACAAAAGACGATCGCAAGCTCCCAAAATGACATCAACATCTTTTTTTTAATTAATAGCCATATGGACACTTCATTTAGACGTTTTTGAAATATTTCAGTAACTTAAGCTATTTCAAATAAGTTATTCTCAGGAAGATAAACGTCAAATAATAAAATTATATTATTCAAACAATAAAAATATCAATAATTAATGCTAAACATTTTCCACGCAATCTGAATGAGAAAATATTTCCTTTCAATTTCCTATTAACACTAGGGTTTTCTTTGTTTAGATCTTGTAAAACAATATTGCCTTTCTCGTATCACTTGTGAAGTCTCAGGCCTATTTATTTTTTAAATATTCCCACAAAAAAATGTCACAAGGACTCAGGTCGGAGCTGTTGGCAGACCATTTGAAAGTTCCTTGCCTACCTATCCAAAGTCTATATTTATTATTTAGATAATCGGTAACCGGTTGGACATTATGTGGAGGTGCGCCATCTTGATGCCATGCAATTAACATCCGAGACGACTAAAACACCATATGACATAGTTGTGAGTGATGTTCAAGAAAGAAAAACGCGGAAAGATCGTGGGGTTCGAAAAAGTCTGCTTGACATGCACCGTGATATATGATGCGTATCGGAAGAATATTGTTTAACAATTAAAACTTGACATGAAGATTTGCGTAGTGTTTTGAACATTGACTGTTGCCAAGAGACTTTGCGTGCGTTGGTACGAAGAATTGGTTGTTATTACAAAACCATCACTAAGAGACAAGTTTTAATGAAATCTAGAAGAATATCAAAGATATTAGAGGGAAATGCAAGAAATTCGTGCGTTGATAGCCACAATACCGTCAAGAGAGGATGGACTGATGGTAACAGCAGGAAATGTTCGTTGGATGTGCCTGTACATGCGGCCTCTGAAGCTGGTTGGGTAGATGACGCTTTGCTGCTTTCTGCGAAAGATGTCAAATAACTAACTACGAAAACATGGCAGCAGACAGCTTTGAAATAGTATATTATGCAACAAGTGCGGTAAACGGCATTTGGCTCACGAGTTTATTTGACACAAGGGGAGCAAGTGTTTAATAAACGAGTGAGTTAAAAAGTTTACCGAACGTGTTGCATACTACACTTTTTCTACGACTGTTAGTTTTTGGGTACATTTTCGCAAAACAAGAATACATTCACTAACATGACCGTCAGAATTGACAAACGTTAAAATTCAAAGCGTGGCTCGGATTTATGGGAAAGGAAACTGACCTGGTAAAGTGACGCTAGATGGGTGGGTAATTAGATATTTTACAAATGGGAGTAGAAAAAAAACTTTTATTGCGATTTTTTTTGTTTCTTTTATATTTACTACAATAGGTCTGTGGTATATTAAAAAAATTATGGAATTTTCAAATTATAAAGAAATAGGCGTTGTTAAAAATAATATTAATGTTAATAATTTTTCACATAATGAAAATCGATATTTACATTTTTTGTTCATTTCGATTCATATATTGTGAAAATCTTATGCATTTTTTTCGTTCCTTACTAATAAGTATAATATTGTTGCTTGATGCTTTAGAAGCATGCGGAGTGACAGGGATTGGGAGAGCCTATGCAGTTCTGTCCTAGATGTCAAACTTATTTCATGTATCGACGAAACTGTCATAGTTTTCTCTGCAGAAACTTCAGAAATCAGAGTGCACCGGTAATAAATACGTGCGTGTAGGGATAGATAACCATTTAAAATAACATCAACATATTCTTCACATCGTCAAGAGCTGTTAAACGACTTCAATGATAATCCTGGTATGTTCATGACTGGTAACGAATCATGGGTATATGGTTGACTCATCGTTGCTTGGGTCTAACTTTTTGGCCAAAAACAAAACCAAAATCATGCCTCGGGCCCCATATTCACCGGATATGGCCCCCTGCGACATTTTCCTGTTCCGAAGCTCAAGAAACCCACGAAAGGAAAGAGGTTTGGAACTACTGACGAGATAAAGAAAAAATCGATGGAAAAACTAAACGCCAGAAAGTGCGAGAAACCCGTGACTATATCCAACGAATATCTTCTATTGTGGGGATATATTTGGAATTACAAAAAAAAGAAAAATTTTACAATTTTATTTGTCACAATTACAGCAAGAGAGGAAATTTAAATAATTTATTTAAAAGTACATTTTGCGCAGTCAGGGAAAACATAATACTTGCTAATTTACGTAACATTAAAAAAAACATTTTAAAACTTGTCCTTCTCTGTCTATATTATCTTTGGAACTATGGCTAAGTGAAACTCTTATCAGTGAACTAATTACACTTTTCACGTTACTTTTCTGCTTTTTTGTTATATTGTTCTTATTGTATATATTTTTCTTTTTTTTTTCGGATAGGGGTTCAATGTTTACGAACTGTTTTATTATTATTTTTTGTCGATTATTCTTTATTGTTATTTAAAGTAATATCTAAAACTCTGTGACGACAGAAGTTTGAACAATTAGGCACATGCAGATATTATTTTACCAAGGTGCCAGATTAGCCATAACGGTGTGAGGCATATACAGCTTAAATGATGCAAAACAAAATGTAACCAAAACAATAGAGAAAAACAACTGCACAATTTGAAATATTTAGTCGGGCGTCCCTCATTATCGATAACGGCTTGTATTCTTCTGGGTATTGATTCGACTAATTTTCTAGTATACTCCGGGGAAATTGTGTTCTTTACTTCAGTAATTTTTACTTTTAAATCATCCTTGCTATTTACTTTGTTTTTTAATGTCAACCACAAATTTTCGATTACATTTAAGTCTGGTCGCGGAGCTGGTGTCCTAATAATGTTTGGGCAGTTATAAATCATCCAACTGCGGACCCGAGGTGGCGTCAACCGATGGTTGTTACTCATATTTAATTTTTGGGCACTAGCATCCAGATGCTGTCTTAATATATCCAAATACACATATTGCTTCATATTTCCTCCAATGAAATGCATATTACCTAGTCCTGCAGATGACATATAGTCACCTGCACCTTGCTTTACTGTAGCTCTTATATTTTTCAATTTTAATTCTTCCTTAGGCTCCCTCCATACCTTTCGGGGTTACACATTTTCCAACCTGTCTTTCCTCCTCGACACTTTTTTTTTAATAATTCGATACATATTTTACAATCCATCTTTCCTCACGTTCACTGAAGATCTTATTTGGAGCTAACCTTGACTTATTCTCGACCCTATTTTCGTTACAGTAACGCTCAATGTTATGCTGAACAGTTGACGGACATTTATTTACCATTTTGGCTGTGTCTCTTTTTTTCCCCCGGAGTATACTAGAAAATTAGTTGAATCAATACCCAGAAGACTACAAGCCTTTATCGATAATGAGGAGGGGCCCGACTAAATATTTCAAATTGTGCAGTTGTTGTTGCAATTATATTGTATATAATTTAAATAATTCTTTATTGTTAACTAAGTAAGGCATTAAGGCATATTTAAGACAACTACTTACTAACTTAATTTCAATAAGTTGTTTTTTTCCAAATAACGAGATATTCAGACCAGTTAGTTTTTGTTATAGCGACTGCTTCATTTAAGCTGTGTCACTTTATAATAGTCTAAGTGGATAGTAATTGTTGTTGTAAATTTAAATTAAAATAAAATTTAAAAAAAATATCGTTCACATTATCCATAATAATTAAACTCACAGTTTTAGAAAAATGCGACCCTGTTTTGTAGTGAAAACACTGGCAGGTAAAATGCTGAAGCACCTTTCTCGATTTATTGCAGACTATGCCATCGCAAATCGTACCGGTTATAGTTTGGAAACTGTGTCCTTTCGATATGAAGCTTATTTATTTATCCGAACCATTTGTTTCAGGGTACGCAAGGCATGCCTCACACCGGTAAGTATTTTCCACAGAGCGGGTCAGTCGACAGTTCATATGAACGGTTGCTATGGTAACCACGCGTGAGATTGTAACGTAACAATATTAAAATTCACGTAATTACATAACGATTAAGTAAATTAAACAGTTTGCCAAAAAGTCGCTTTTGTAGTTACAAAATGAAACGAAACAGCACGGTATTTTCAGACGCACTGATCCGATTTCAGTGACACGATTTCTTTTACTCGTAATTAGAAAAACGAAAAAAAAAGTATGCGTGCTATAGCGCCCGGTTTTTGCGAAATCTAGTTTAAGGCCGCGCAATTATTAACGCATACATTTCTCGGACTCTAAAATACATACATATAATTTAAACGCATTAAGTTTATAACGATTACGAAAGAGACATCGGTCATTTCAAACAATTTAAAATAACACCAAGAATTTTTTTGTGTGTTTTTATTTCTCACTAACATAACGAATCCGGCGAAAATTGTCTCGATCTTCTGGCGCGTCTTACACCTGGGATTCCATAAGGTTCCGTCTTGGGACCCTTACTACTTCTCGTTTATGCGTCTATAAAATTTATTTTTCTTTTGATGCGGACGATTTCTCAAAGCTATTAGATTTATTAATGAACACAAAACGAAACTTAATCCCGAGAAGGCTCATTTTATTTATTTGTTTTATTTAAATAAAGAAATATATATCCGTGTACCTCGAAGTGATTGTGTGATGTGGCCTAAACGTCTTAAATTTTGAGGTACAAGGTGGTAAAGTTGATTAATTAATAGGAATTAAAGATTTTAATATGTGTAATGCCACATATTTTAATGAAATTTGGTATGGTCTGTTCATAAATATAAGAAATACCTACCTGTGTTTAATATTCTTCGGTTTGGTATATTACTTTTTTCTTTTCGTTTTTATGACTTGCTACAAACAAAATAAAGTAAAGTAAAGTAAGTGGCCAATAAACCATCTATCTATCTATCTATGTCTTCGTTTTTATAGCAGTTTTCCTTTAGGTTAAAGAACTCGTCTATCGATTTTAAAAGATTATTTGTTACGGATTATTTATAACGGATATTTTATTATTCATTGGGATGGGGTATATACGATAGAGATCATAAGGCTTGTTAAAAATAAGGGGAATGGCTAAGTAACATATAATAAGGTCATTTTTAATCCTACCGACTGCGCCAATTTTGTTTAAAAATGAAGAGTAGGGGGAAATAAGATGAGGGTTCATTTTTTGCTTAAATAGGACTAACAGTTATTTCGTATAATATATCGGCTATAGAATAAAATCTGAACAAGGAAAAGAAAAATTACGCTTAAGTAGTCATCAAACTGGACAAGACTGCAAATGTTCAAAACTTAAATGTCTCCAAAGCACGATCGTGTCTAAGTTAAGTGTGCTATAAAGCTGACATGGCATAACTGCAAAAAGGCTACAAACTATAAGAAGCGGATTGAAATCAAAGTTTTCAGCACCATTAGATATGCGAGGAAAGCACTCTTCCAGACCTAACCGACTTTCTAGGGAAGTAACAGATTCGGTCATGAAGCAAATTAGATGTTTTAAGAATGGAAAGTCTTACTATAGTTTGGCTAAAACGCCAAAGGTTTATTTACCTGCTGAGCTCAGTATTAAGAAAACGTACTCTATGTAAAAAGAAGCTATTGTAATGAATTTTCAAAAAAATCTTCATCTGCCGAATATTACAACTAAAGACAAGTACTAGCGTAGACAACTTTCGTTCTACATGTCCACCATACATGTCCTTTCGACCTCTGAAGCTCTTTTCTATACTTATACTGAAGTTTCAGGAAAAAAGGGTGCAATGGGATGACATCTTTAACCATCTGAATTTCGATGTGAAGAAGCTTACAATATTATGTGGTTCATGCTGTAAATAAAGTAAAAATTTCATGGATTTTAGAATATTACATTATATTGTTCATTTTGTTAAAAGTGGTAACACAATCAAAATGGTCTTTCCTGTTCGTGGACATTCGTATCTAGAATTCGATAAAAATATGGGTTTAGTGAAACAAAAGACGTACGTTGAACTGCCTCAAGAATGGAATGCAGTTTTAAGGGATTCCCGAAAAAAACCAAACCCTTTTAAAGTTATCACTTGTGAAAATACGTCGATGTTTAAGAGTTGGACCAAATTTTTAGCGAATATCTATATGCCCAAGTGTACTTTTCCTTCAAAACTTGTTAAAGAATTAACTGTAACCGAAAATCACGCTAGTACGAGGATACATAGGGAAGATTATAATGGTAGAGAACTTGAAAATGTAGTCAGAAAACAAAAAAGAAAAAAACTTTCGCTACCTGAAAAGTACATTTTGCTTCCAACTTTAGCTTATGAGGGGTCAACTCCTATATCTAAAGCAAAATCTCAAGACCTACAGCATCTAAAAAGATTCTGTTCTCAAAAAACCGCACAATTTATTGTCAACTTTTTTTGTGTTGGAATCAAAGTTTCTTTTTTATAATTTTGTATTAACAATTTATATATTTTTTGAATATTCTGTCAAAAAGTATTTTAGTTCAACTAACCAAAATCCTATTTTCGTTTCCCGTGTTCTAAAATAGTCTTCCTAAATAAAAATCTCAAAATTAAGTTTTTTAGACTCTCATCTTTTTTCCCCTGTACTTTTCAAATGTGAAATGGCAACTTAAACACTGTTTTATCCTACGAATATGAGATACATCTCGCGATGTTACTCCATTTTACACGTACTAATCACGGCCATACAACTAATTATTCAGTCGAACGTTAGCTTAAACTCTTCTAAAAATAAATCTTCCTTCGGTGCAGCTTTATTTTTTACGGCGTGTCAAGCGAATTTTGCGTGCGAAGAGCACTATTTCACTCTCGGCACCTGCTCTTAAAACCGAGGCTATACCTAAAAAGAGCTTAGATCCTTTTATCTCGTCTGAAACAATCTCTCAAAATTAGCCGCAGTTGGTCCCGACCATTAGCGTAATGATAGGTTAGAAGGGAACGCGACTGTGACATTGTTTTTTGAAACGATCGGACCAATTTTTCCATTTTCGAAATTAGGACCGAGTGAAATTCAAAACGGACGGGAAGAATGCCCGTCTAAGATGTAAAAAACCGAAAACATTGTTATTATTGATATTCTTTTAATAACCCCTTATTATTATTATTATTAATTAATTTAATTAAAAATTAATTATGGTATCTCCTCCTGCAAGTTTCCCAGAGACAGAAAGTTGTTCGATGTTAACCAGTAGCTAAGAACATTGACCCTAGTGAATTTTTTCACTATAGACATATAAATCTCTTGCCTGCACATTCTAAGTTTATGGAGAATGCTGATGCACGTGAGTTATAATGGGTGTTTTTTTTCGATGTATAGAACTTTAAGTTGCAATAGAACAACGATGGATTATTCGATTGACATGAATTTTATTTATCCGAAAGATAATCTTTTGGCATTACATTTTAAATATGATTTCTGGCATATGACCGCCAGGGTTGGCGCGGATGTAGTTCAATCTGGACGTCCAATTTTCGATGACTTTTTCCAACATTTGTGGCCGTATATCGGCAATAACACGGCGAATGTGGCTTATCCGCATAGACCAATGACTTTACATAGCCCCACAGAAAGTAGTCTAGCGGTGTTAAATCACCAGATCTTGGAGACCAATTCACAGGTCCAAAACGTGAAATTAGGCGGTCACCAAACGTGTCTTTCAATAAATCGATTGTGGCACGAGCTGTGTGACATTTTGCGGCGTCTTGTTGAAACCACATCTCCAGGACATCATGGTTATTCAATTCAGGAATGAAAGAGTTAGTAATCATAGCTCTATACCGATCACCGTTGACTGTAACGTTCTGGCCATCATCGTTTTTGAAGAGTACAGACCGATGATTCCACCAGCCCATAAAGCGCACCAAACAGTCAGTTTTTCTGGATGTAACGGTGTTTCGACATACACTTGAGGATTAGCTTCGCTCCAAATGCGGCAGTTTTGTTTGTTGACGTAGCCATTCAACCAGAAGTGCGCTTCATCGCTAAACAAAATTCGCCTATGAAAATCGGGAACAGCGGCAATCTCGTTTTGGGCCCATTCGACGAATCTACGCCTTACTTGATGATCGTCTGGCTTCAAATCCTGCACGAGTTGGATTTTGTAAGCACGTAAACCAAGATCCTTCCGCAAAATCTTCCATAAAGTGGATGGACACAGATCCAATTCCGCGGATTGACTCATTCGGGTCTTCCTCAATGCTACGCTCTACAGCAGCAATAGCTTCTTCTGTACGCACCGTACGGCGTCTCTGGGCATTCGAGTTATCAATAAGAGTAAACGTGGTGCGAAAACGTTCCATGGTTAATCGAATTAACTGCTCTGATGGACGATTTTGTCGACGATAAAATGGACGTAGTGCGCGATACGTATTCCGCACAGAACCATTATTTTCGAAATAAAATTGCACTATTTGCAAGCGTTCTTCAGGCGTGACTCTATTCATTGCCAAACCAAACTGAGAATAAATCACTTGACAGCTGTTAAATTGGTCGCCATCTTAAACAGTAATGCCAACTTAAAGTTCTATACATCGAAAAAAAACACCCATTATTTTACAATAGGCTCAAATCGGAAAGCATACTAGGGTAAAATCCTTATAGCGTTACCTCCCATAATTGGTTTAGAAGTGTTACCAATGAAATATTTTAATGAATTTAAATTTACTTTAGGTCGAAAAGCTTCTATTCTATCATTTATATTTATTTATCCTTTTTATCAATGAACTTTCTGCTCATCTACCTAGAGGTCGCTGACGACTGTTCAAGTTTAGTCTCCTCACATTGTTATCAAACTCTTCAAGACAGAATTATATTCAAATTCCCACAAAACAAAAAAGATATTTCTGTGAACGTCTGGTCGGGAGGGGAGGCCGTTGAAATAAAAAAGCACGCTAAATTTTTAGGACTAGAGCTCGACGAAACCCTACTTTGGG